TTTTATGCTAATATTTACGGAGCCTGATACTTGAAGCATAGGACACGGGACATAGAACGCATGTGCCTAGACACAGACATCTATATTCTTTTCTTGGAGCTGTTAAAGAGCACCCAAATTAAGCATCTGTCAAGAGACAGTTTGATGGACCACAGCCAGAAAGCTCAAAAATTCTGCAGGAACAAGCTCATGGTGTGGAAACCTGATGTTCCTTATGGAGACTAAAAATAATGATAAAATTTAAAATAAAAAAAGGACAAAAAAAACATTAAAAAAGGGTTTGAGAGCATTAGCTAATTGACCCTACATCATGATTTTTGTGTTGTTTTAAATCTGGAAACAAACTAATCATCTACACATCTTCACAAATGGAATAAATAAATAATTCAACTGAAAGAGAGCCATTTTTAGAAAGAAAACTTCCAATTTCTAGGATCACTTCAGACCAGTTTAAAGTACTACAATTTTAAAGGTTTAAATTTTTCAGTTCAAAAAACTTGCAATCTTTAAGTACTGTAACTTTGGGAAAAAAGTATTCACATCTGTATTGTAAAACACTAAGATAAAAAGCTAACATATTGTAAAAAGCTAAGATAAAATTGCAATAAAATCCATCCACGTGGTTAGTTCATACCTTGTAAAAGGATTTGTCCCATCCTGAGGAATAAACACATACATATATAAATCTTACTGCTAAACTATATCATCATTAGATCTGTCTTCCAAAATGCAAAGCCGATACATTATTTTTTTAAATAAACCTTGACATCAAATACCTCGCAGTTCTTCACAATGTCCGAGTCAGCATTTCCAATGTTCTGGATATCTTGCATAAAGGAGGCAAGCAGCTCAACAGACCCAGGCATTAACGAGGACCTGGTATTCCCTGAGTAACCAGACACTCCATTGGGATTGGATGAGGGACTTTGAGTGAAACATGAGGGGAAAAAAAAACATTTCAATTATTTATTGTGCCAGTTGTCCAACATAGTGGCCAAAATAATACACTACATATGCTATGCAGCCATAAAAGAATTATACACTTAATTTACATTGTGACCCTCATCATGCTGAAGAAAACCCCTGATACCTTCATAAAAATGAGGATGTTTTTCAAGAAAATGTCAAAGAATCCACAGCATGCTTCATCCTTATCCTATATACTATTAAAACGCAGTAGCCTTCCAAGAAGAGAGACAGCATAATCAGCACAGATATTACTGCTCGCTAGTACAAACATCAATAAATACAGCTTTTCAAACCTATCTGCTTCTTCATAGATTCTGAGGTCAGATTACTGCTCACTAGTACAAACGTCAATAAATACAGCTTTTCATCAAACCTATCTGCTTCTTCATAGATTCTGAGGTCAGAAGCTTACAGATATAAGCTTCTGCGTAACAATGATTTATGAAGTCCAAGACTACTGCCTCCTTTTCAGAAGTTACACATGCAGTAAGCGACTTGTAATTCTCATCGTAACAGGTCAGTCAAGAAGAACCTCTCCTTATCTGTCACTTAGGCCATTAGTCCGTATTTGCCCTTCTTATTCACTGGGAACACCTTGGGCATTGAACAGAAAAACAATTCACTTTTTCTAAGCTGCTGTTCTCTACAAATGACTTAGCATAATGCATGATCTTTCCAAAGAATGATCTCTTACAATTTGTCCAAGACAGGTTTTCCCCTCCCCCATTCTAAAAGACACAAAGCAATGGAAGTTACTAAGTTTTTACGGAAGGCTTAACAGTTCTTTCAGTAAGGCTTTTCTCATTAAGGATTATACCTGCAAATCTAAAAAACCCTAAAATATATTGCAGAGTATTACATATTATTTCACTTTAGTAACAATGTTACTGTAAAAGCATACTAACTAAGCAGAACAAAAATAATAAAAATATTTGCTAGGAATTCCTTCAACACATTACCTGTTACAATTCAAGTTACACACAGACCTGTGGGTATTTCTGACATCAGAGTCTGCAGAAGATGAAGGGATTTCTTGTACGGTATTCACCACGTCACGGTTTTCCATATCTTAGGCTCAAGTATGACATTACCCTGAAAATACAAAGAAGTAAGCATCACCCTCATGTTTTAAAAAGCCATTTGACTTTGTTGTTTGAAGAAACAGAATTTGATTAAAGGGACAGTTGTTTCAGCCAAACCACCCCAGAAAGTGCTAGCATTCCACAACCAACCTCTCTTCCTTGTCCTGTGCTATGCTTGCAAACAGGTGCTATTTATTCAGCCTTGTACTTGCTGGGACTCTTACAAATCAAACAGACTCCTAGCTGTGCATCACACATCTAGGCTGGGCTGTAAAGGGTGTCTGAATCCAAAACGTTCCACGTAGAACAGTGTTGTTGGGGTTTGGTTGGTTGGCGTTTTAAATCTGAGGCTCGACAGACAGTTTTTGAGACTTCTGTGAAAGGGCCTATTATCAATGTATTTAAATCTGCTGAACAGGGATCTGCGCCTTCACTGGAAGAAACACACCCCCCAAAAAAATAAAATCGAGACCCACTGAGTTAGACCGCAGTTGACCAATTCTGCTATTTGTGTATGTAATATTTGGCTGACTTTTTTCACAGAACGCCTGCTTTATTATTACTATATAACATTAATTCAAAAAGCATTGAAACTGTTTTGAGCTACATTTCTTACAGATTAACAATCAAATGTAGTCAAACAGGAATCCCACAGCAGTTAAAAACAGCAGCTGGTTAACTGAAAGCATCATAAATAAATAAATACAAAATACTTGGTCTTACAGCACTCAAAGCAGCAGTTTACAAGAATGGCTGTAGAGAGACTAAAATATTCTTCTGGTTTCCATACTTTCTCTAAGAAAACACTTGAATACATTGATTAATCAGTTCTTCTGTAGTGCTTATTTCAGCATCTTCTACACCCTGGTGAATTCATCCTATGTTCTAACACTGAAGAAAAACCTTACGATCACTTCACGGATGGAGAACAAAAAGAGACATTAAGACATATCATCCTAGTAGTCTGTGATAATACTAAGAATAAATCCCTGCTGCCTTAAAGAAGCACAACACCTTCAAAGCACAACCATTCTTCTTTACAGGGCTTACAAGTACATGCTACCAGCTTTCACAGATTTAAGTTTTCATTATTTGTAAGCACATAGAGATACATCTCTAACAGATAGTTTCAGAAGTATAAAAAATTATTTCCACCGGAAGGAAACTGATGGACAACGGTCCAATTTTTCCCTGTTTTATTGGAGCCTGTTTGGCTTTAGCAGAAATGTTTTCCAGGTACTCACTCAAGCTATTTCCTTTGGGTAGGGCTGAAAATGCAAGAATTAGAAGGAAGTTATCAGAGATACACATATCCCTTCAGCAGAGCTTCTTGGGATAAATCGAAGAAGAAAAAAAAGCCTTTCTTCTTTTTCTAGTGGTCAGAAGTCTGGAAAACTTGAAGGTTATCAGGCACCTAACCTGACAGATAAAGCAGAAGCTGCAAGTGTCTCTGGAGCAGCTGGATGGCAATGGTGGGGGCTACATCAGTCACCCCCATCTCCCCAGGATAAAATCATGGATGGCCTATCTCAGCAGATGGGTGGGACTTAGCTGTGACACAGGCTCGTTTCATAACCTCATTAGAAGTCTGCTCGCAATAAAAAAAATAAATAAAAAATTAAGTGAACTATAACTGGGCCGAGGAACAGCTAAGCTGTCATCTATTGTTTCCATAGCACAGAACAGTCCTTATGCGGCCAAGTCCCTACATAAAGGGGTAGGATTAAAAAAACCAAGCTGCAAGGTGTTTTGACTCGTAAGTATCAGTACTGATTTAGATGCGAACACCTGGGCCAGCACAGACCCGGAGACCGCGGTTCTGCATCTCCTCCTGAGCGAGATCTGGTTGCTGCCGTTCCTCGCAGGTCGCTAAGGGGTGACAGGGCGACGCGGTCCCCGCTTCCCCTCCCGCCGCCAGGCGCCCATCTCCTCGGCTTCCCCAGGGCTTCCCCAGGGACCCTGAGAAGGGACAACGAGCCTTTGGGCTCTAAAGCCCCGGTCCCCTCAGGGAACGCCCTCGCCTCAAAAGCTCAGCCCCCTCTGGGGACCCCCTCCCCTCAGAAGTGAGCCCCTCTCGCCGCGTCTGCCCCCTCAGGTTGCCTCCCCTCAATTAGCACCCTCCTCCCCAACTCTGTGTGTCCCCCCCTACTCCCCCGGGTCCCCTCCTCTCGTAAGTGACCCCCTCCCGCCAACTCCG